CCCCAAAACCCCAAAACCCCAAAACCCCAAAACCCCTAATATTTCTTAAAATAGATAATAATAATATTAACAGGGAATTAAGTGCATATGGCTAAATTACAAATATTCATATTTATAATATTCTTAATCTCCTTGAGCTATCAAAAGGTTGATAACAGCTCTCCAGAAAGAGTCAAGTTCACACCTTCAGACCTGGAAGGATTCTTTGTGAATTTTGCTAAATCTGCAAAAATAGAACTAGTTTCCAAGTCTACTATGCCTTGCTCCAAAAGTGTCAAACAATTTATCCTTGACGGATCAGATGCTATCAACGAATTATTAAGTGACCAAACCTGGACTGGTACCATCAGTGTGGCAGAAGTCCTTGGTGGCTCATCTTATGTAGCCAGGAACTGCACCTACTCTATTGACGAATTATCTGGGCAGCTTTATAATTACTTGGAAGCTTTTCCCACGTTTGAATCCTGGATGAGGATGGTAAAAGAAAATGTATCCAGAAATATGGTCCAGCTTTCTCTTCTATCAATGCAAATCGTTGATGAGATTAAGAAAGCAAACCCTGATTTTCCATTGCTTGGATCAATGGTTGGAGAACTAGTTTATTATACACTTGAAAGAGAAACTGTGCAGAATACACTTAGATATCTCAGACAAGACCCTTTGGCTCCTTCTCCTATGAACAAGTACGTATGGTATGGACTAGAATCAGCTTATGAATTCTTAAAGAACTCTCAAATTTTGGAGCAGACCAGATTGAATCAATGATACAATAACTTTGCCAACATGCTAGTCTTCCAGAGTGACGCATTCCGTAACTTCGCTGCATCAGTTCCAGATGAAGGAATTTATCTTACTCTGGATAGCTTCGTCTTCCTCAAACCAATTATCCTAGACTGTTATGATGCAGGAGAAGAGGTTGGAGTAAACTTTGACAAAGTCCTCAAAAAGATAGAAGCCAATCCGGATGTAGTCAGAGCAAATTTTGAAAGTGAGCTATTCCATGCTCTCTCAGACTCAGTTGCTACCTATTCCCAAGCTTACTATAAAGATCTAGTCGGCATGAACAGAATTTTAGGAGATCTCTGCTATAGAACCCTTGTTAAGGAAGCTGAAGTAGAGAATTAATCAGATAACATCATCCTAAAATAAGCTATTTCTTCAGCCAAATCATGAGTATTTGGGGTTTTGGGGTTTTGGGGTTTTGGGGTTTTGGGGTTTTGGGG